GAGCCCTCCATTGATAGTCAGAAAGATCCAATCCTCCAGGTTGCAATCATCTTCACCATCTTCTACCGCGTTGACCTCGCAGTTGCTAATCTTTAAGGGTAGCCCTCCATCACGGGCACGGTGTACATCCTTTTGAGCACTTGAAGTGAAACCTAGTCCAAACTTGTCAGACTTATACGGGATATCTGAAAGTTTCCCCCAGAGGGTGCATCCACCTTCCTCTACCACTGCTTTGGCGTCCTTTAGTGATGACATCCAGAGTGGAGGTCTTGTGATCTTGGGAATCTGGGACACAGTCTTGGTCACTGCCACCTCTTGGGGGACCTCTTCGAAGTGTTGAAATGGAGTTTCAATGAATTCGCCGTCCAATTCCACATATCTGAAGGAATTGAGATGGCTGATCATGTATTCTTCCTCTCCATAGACAGTGATAATCTTCCCTTGAACCAGATACTTCAGCATCTGGTGCAATGTAGAGGTGACAGAGCCAGCATTGTGGATCCATGGTCGGCCTAGCAAACATGAATACAAAGGGAGGATGTCCATTTTATAAAAGGTGGAATTGAAAGTTTGGGTTCCAACCATTATGGGGATATCCACTTCCCCGTGTAACATCCTCTTCGAGCCATCAAATGCCCTTACTACTATGTTGCTTGGCTTTAACGTCAGTCCCTCATAGTCAAGTCTATCCAAAGATTTTTTCGGTAATACATTCAAAGATGAGCCAATGTCCACCAAGACATGGGCCAGAGTTGTGCCCCTACACTCCACTGAGACGTGCAACGCCTCATTGTGCTTTCTTCCCCTCGGTGTTAGATCAGCATCCAAGAAACCTAGGCCATTATCTGCTATCAAGCTAGCCACACAGTCTTGGAATTGATTAGAAGACGTCTCTTGAGGTACATGGGCTATTTTTAAGAACTTCACTCAGGCTTTCGCATGTGCCTCGGAACACATTAGTAATGCCAGCATGGAGATCTTGGAGGGAGTTTTCCCCAACTGTTCAACTATATCGTAGTCACTCCTCTTTATTATTTTTAGGATCTCCGCCATTTCTTTCTTAGATGTCTCAGGGATGGTCAGCGGTTGAGCCTTCGTCCAGACAGGCTCCACTTGAATACTCTTTCCTCAAGTCTCAGCAGCGGGAGTGTTGGTAGGAATGATAACATTAGTTGTGACGGCTTTGTCAATAGGAACATTTGCAGAGATGATTATGGGTACAAAGGTAACCTTTGGAGCAGCCACAAGGATGATCACGGGTCCAGAAATTTCTTTTGGGGGAGTAATTTCTGGAGAAAAGATCCTACCGCTTCGGGTAATTTTACTAGTTCCGGCAATATTGCTGATGTTGGATTCTTCTTCGGAGTTTATTTCTTCAGCGGCCGGCCAGTCTTGTTTGATGCCATGGTAGTAAATGTCCCCTCCGTAATTCCACGACACGGTTTTATCTGATACATATGAGACTGGCCCAAGCATTGTGATTAATAAAGAAGTTGTTTTCGGAACTGATGTAATTCTAACGGGTCTTTTGGTGGAGACCTTGGAAGAATTGGCGGAGATGGTAATTGTTGTACCCCAAAATTTACCCTCTTTTCATACAAGCATATTATTGTTTTTATGGTTATGGAATTAAGGTATATTTATCAAGCTTCTTCAGGTTACAAGTGACATTTATTTCGCCAATGGATGTTCTCAGAGTATTTTCCGTGCTGAAGATCGGTTTGCCGTTTTGCAATGATTCGGGGTTCAAAGATTCACAAGTCCAACCCGGCGCGTCATATTTAGGTGTTCTTTCACCAAGATATCTCTGATAACGTATTCTCAAATTCAGGTTTGGCTCAAGAGTCAATTCTTTAAAGAAGGTCTCCGAATGTGTGAGTTTTCTCGAAGAAATATGGTGAAAAAATGTGCTGAAAGTGCAGTTTTTATACACTAAAAAATCCATAACTTGAAGATCGGGGCTTGTTTTGAACCTGTTTTGGTGGCTAAAATTCCGTCTTGACGTCATCTACGTATTCATCTCTCATGGATGGAAGCCAATTGCATTCATAAGGGAGTTATATTGGTCGATAACAATGACATAAGACATATTTTGTGGATCCTTCAACAAAGTCTTGCATATACCCAATGCCCATGTGACGTTGTCTTCTTTCTCACATTCTAAAAAATAAGATCCAACCGAAAATGTCTTGTCCATAGAGGTGACACTGACAATTTCTAGAAGCAGAAGCCTATACTTGTTGGTCTTGTACGTCGAATCAATCATAAGAACGACTGGAAATATGTTGAACAACTTGATACTCTTTGGATGAGTCCAAAATATGTCACGAATACTGACTTTGACCTCACAAACTTTATACCTGGAAGCGTAGTGGTTATCGTCCAAATTTTTTAAAAGATGTTGCATTTCGGACCTCATACCTCTTTGTGCAATGTTTTGTTTATAACGATAATTGTAAACCGACTTGATATTTAAAACACTTTCTGGTTTTTTTTGTTTCAAATCGGCAAGTATGTTTCACGATGCAACTTTGATTAACGATAATTCTGAAATGGATTCCTTCTCTTTCGGCTTAAGCCGACAAATAATTGAATGCCCTTGTAGCTTGGTGTCCAATGCATGATTATGCATACCAGAAAAGACACTAAATCGCCATAAATCATCCACCCTAGAAGAACCGTACAATTTAAATGGACACTCACGTTTCCTCGATCCCGTGTCATCATGTTTTAAATTCCAAAGTTTTGGAACATATTCCCCACTTCTCTCATATGTCATCACACGAAATGATTGCCTTCTACTGGTGCCATTGTCAGACCTTCCAATCACAATGCCAAACCTAAGTTTTCCAGGTTCCATTCGAACCCATTCAAGCATATGTTAAGGATATGTGGAAATTTTATCATTTGTAAATTGTTGTCCAAAATCTATTACAACATCAATCATTTTATCAACGTCCTTCATCTCTTTCGGCTTAGAATCTTTATTGACCTTGTCCGAAATCTTTATGACAACTTTGGGAATATTGTCAGGGTGCACCATACTTAATACGACCAAAACAACATAAATTCTGTTAAAACATAATTCTGCTCCTGTAACAGATGTGTTTTCGAATATGTACATCCAAATTATGGTAGGTTGAATTTTGATATGCATATTCAAAGTGACGATATTTTTTCATCTTAAACTCAACATCAATGCAAAGAATGTGAGATGAAATAATGAACTTTACCTTAAATTGCAGCTTTCTATGCTCTCTTTGCTATGCTCAAACACTTGAAACTTGGTTTGGAGACGAAAACTTCATTGAGAATGGTTGAAGTTTTGTTGAGGGTTTTGGTTAGGGGGAAAGGAAATAAAATGAATTAAATAGTTGGAGGGGGTAACCATGCAGAAATCAAATATGACAAGGGTAGTTTCAGATATGCATATCCGAAACTACCTCTAAAATTTTAAATCCAATGTTTAATTATTAGAACATGGAAAAATGGTGTCTTTGGATGTGCATATCAGAAACATGCCGAAAGGTGCGTTCAGATATGCACACCCGAATGGTATTTTCGGGTTTTTAGAGGTGTAACTCAACATAACCAGGTGGATAAAGAAATTCCCTTGCATTATACCTTAATTTTGCTTAGGACAAAGTCTTCTCCCAACTAGAATGCTCTATTTTAAATCCTCTTTTCACTCCCTTGATTTCGCTGATAGAGCCTGTTCTTTTCCAGATGGAAATGCTTTATTTTGGTGCTTTGCTTCCTGCCTAGATTTTGCTCAGCGACAAAGTCTTCCATCAACGAGAACATTCTATTTTAACATATCAATTACAGGTTTTTCAAAACCAAGTTGACCCAATAAAAAACGACTAATTGAACCAGGCCTAAAACAACAAAAAATCATGTTTGGTTCTAATGTGTTTTGACCATTTTTTAACAGAACTGTGCGGTTCAGTTTATGGTTTATATGTTGCAAAGTGAACCAAACCAAACCAAAATGCATTGTGTTAGAAACTAAACTTCACTTAACCCAGATCCAACCCAAACCCAAATCCATTCTTTCTTAGTCTTATGATTACGAATGTTTTTCTCTTTCTCATACTTAGGGTTTTAGTTTCAACCTTCTCTAATCTCTCTTAGCAGTATCACGTCTTTTTCTCATCTTTTTCGCAAGGTACATCTCGTCTCTTCTTCTCCAATCTCTCTTCTGTTATATTATTTATTTTTCATCTTCTCATTTTTATGTTGATATTCTCTCTTACAATTTTGTTTTTACCGCACCTTTTCTTACCTAATCTCTCCTTTCTTTTGTTCTTTCTTTTCATCTTTTCCAATCTCTCATCTCCTCAATTTTTTGTTTCATTATAATAATTTTGATATTGTTTTATACTTTTTATTCCACTTTTGTCTAATATTATTTTTGCATATTAAATGATAAATTGTTGTCCAAATATGATGGGTTTTGTGCTCATTGATATTGTTATTTGTTTTTGATAATGTATGAATGACTAAACACCAAGTTATATTGTCATCTATATGTGTATGTATGACTCAATAACAATTTTGTAAAAAATAAAATCAACAAAACGAACCCAAATTGCATTAATTTGGTTTGATTTGGTTTTATTTCTAAAAGTCAACCGAACTACACATAATTTTGTCTTGTTATTCATATGACTTTTAGCGTCAAAATCGTCCAAACTACACCATAAACCCCCATAATATCAATTAAAAAATCAATGATATCTAATATTTCATCAACTAATATAGATTTAGTAATGACTCACACGCCAACCAATTTTCAATAGTTTTGTCCGGTCTAACCAATTTAATTATATATGAAATAACTATATATAAAAATAAAATTTAATATAGCAAATAAATTAAAAAATTAATTAAAAAAGAATACTACATCAGATGCATAATGAAACATGTGTTTTATATGAGCATATAAAATGAGCCAAATCAAAACCCTAATTTATTCCACAATCGCCAACCTTTTATTCATGTCCTATTGTGCTCTCTTTCGGTAATACTCTCTATAACCTTTCCTATTTAGTTATCACATAATAAAATGTCAACATTCACCATTGTCTCTAAAAAAATTCCTTCAAGAGAGGATTAAGGTTAGTGGCAAACCCAATTCTCTTGGTGAGATTCAGGTTATTTCATGCGAGGAAAGCAAGTTCATTGTTATTTCTGACAACAATGTCTTAGAACGTCATTTTTTATGGTACTTCATCTTGAGATGGATCTTGGATGACACTTCTCTTGATGAGGCAATGAACGTCACAATTCATCATAAATTCCCTAATAAGAAGAGGGCCATGATGGTTATGAACTCCATTAATACATTATTTGTTAAATAATGTAAACGGGGTCCGACATTCTCCATTGTAGTTTAATCAAATTTTATTGTGGGTGTCATCATCTCTCACAACTTTCATTTTACTAAATTTCTAGAGGCTCTCTCATAATTGGGAAAATATTATGACACCACCTCTACAATCATCGAAAAAAGCCACTTTTCTGAATCTCCCTTATATAAAGTCTATTCACAAATTCCTCATGTCTTAGAATTTCTTCTCCAAAATAAAATTAATGGGGGAGATCTTACCAAGATTTAAGGGTTTCTTGGCCTGCATTTATAACAGAGGGAAAATTTCCCCACCTGCAAAACACACCTCATAAGATGGAGTAGGCTATATGCAATCCCTTTTCTTCTATATCCTCTAAGGGTTTCTCTTCCTTGGAAACCTTTTCACTTTCAACCCTTTTATTTGGGGGAGATCTTTCCCCAAACCTTGTTTGTATTTCCTTGCCCATATCACCAACCTAAGATATTAATAATTCACCTTGTTTAATTATGTCCTCAATTAAGTCATTTAACTTAATTCACTTTTTTTTTGTGTTATGGAAATATAAGTATCTTAATTTGTCTAGGATCAAATATTCTCGAGCATTTTTTTGGAAACTTTGCATATACTTTATATAACTCTACACTGACACGTTCTTTTATACTTTCTATGAAGATGTTAAGGCATGTAATCACGACATATGTATAAGGGTAGACCTTTATTTTCCTTATTGGGAAGTAATTCTTTCTTATTATGTCCACCAATTTTCATGTATCCCTCAAGCCTCTGCCTCTCTCTCTAGTTTCTCTTGTCCTCATTCGTATAATTCCATTCTTGATTCAAACATCTTTTCACACCGTAAGTATTTCATAAATATTTCTAACAATGTCATGGATGTTATTTGCTCGTCTTTGGCTCTTAAGTGGTTTTTATGATTTTCACCATAATTCATTAGCGTCTTCTGACCTCGGTTGTTGTCTTCATATTCTTGCCTTTGTTCACCATTAGATCTTGTTAATTGAGAATGAGGAAACATCGGAGGCGATTCCTACAGAAGACACCAAATAATTCAGGAATAAACATTTTTTATTCATATGTTATAATTGAGTAGAAATATGAAGATGAACTATTGTAAGAATTTCTCCAGTCCAACTGGGGGGATATCTACATACCCTTCTATAATGTTATTATAACTTTTTCTAGGATCTAGAACATTTATCTGTTATAATTGTCTTAAAGGATATATGTCATGACATCATTTGAAATACGATTTTATGAGCTCTAGGATCTTGATAACTTCTTAGTAGTTATACTTGAATGACATATCTATCTTAAGGTTTTAAAACCTTCTTTTGTGGATACATAGTCTAGAGGGAGGACATCAATAGAGTGGCGTCATTGGACATTATTTTTCTTATTTGGCTTTCCTTGGAAGCTCAACTGACCTCTATTTCATACAACATTAGGGTGAGACCATTTCATGATTCTCATGTCTTTTAGGTCGTCCAAAGTGTAGAACTTGTAGGGTATTTTCCAGGGTCGTTAATCGAATCAAACAATCTATAACACTGTGTGATGATGAAACAAAATGGATTAAGCCCTAGGCCCAAAACGAAACAACTAAGAATATAATCGTTGTATAGATCACCTTGCTTATACCGACCACAATAATGATCTTGGTTTAATGGAGTTTCTAACTCCTCGTTAATTTTTAAATTTCGTTATTATTTAATGATTGTTGAGTGATCTCTATCATGTTATTTTTTAGGCAGTCATTTTAAATTTTGTTTCCAATTAAAGAAATAAATAGTAACTTCTTATTAAAAAGAAGGGTTAAATAAATTTTTGGTCTCTCTAAATATCTTAAATTTCATTTTTAATCCCTCTAAATTTTTCCTTTAAAAAATAGTCCTCCTAAAAAATTAAATTTTAACTTTTGGTCTCTCCTAACAAAGTCCTAGCTAAAATGGTCTCTAATTTCGTTGCTAAAATCGTCACTAAAACCATCGCTAAGTTGTAAAAATATTTTTGAAAATTTTTTTTTTAGGGACTAAAAACAAAATTTGAGAAATTTAAAAAGATTAAAAATTTATTTAACCCTAAAAAGAAAAAGAAATAAAATAACTTAAAAACTTGTAGAATAATAAAATTAAAAAATAATTAGAAAAAGGAACACAAACAAAGACCGTATACTGAATGAAATGCGCGTTTCATATGAGCGTATAAATAGGAGCCAGACCTAAACCCTAATTTCTGCCGTCTATCTTTTCCTTCGCAGCGTGCAGTTCTTCTGTCTTCTCTTCAGGTAATCCTCTCTTTTTCTATCTCCTCTCATATTTCTCTTTAATTTTCACTGAAATTGAATCTCGATTTTGTTTCATAGGTTCATAGAAGCAAAAATGGGTCGAGTAGATGCAGCTGGTTCCAAGGGTAAGAAGAAGGGATCTACAACCTTCACCATCGACTGCGCTAAGCCTGTAGAGGACAAGATCATGGACATTGCTTCTCTCGAGAAGTTTCTTCAAGAGAGGATTAAGGTTGGTGGTAAGGCCGGTGCTCTGGGTGATGCTGTTACTGTTTCTCGCGAGAAGAGCAAGATCACTGTTACCTCTGATAGCAACTTCTCCAAAAGGTTGTTCTCTATTTTTATTTTTTTATTTTTTTAACTTTTGTTGATTTTGTTGTGAGTTTATTGTTTCGTTTGATTGGGTGATTTGTATTTGCTTAGATAGGAGTTGAATTGTTTGATTTGGGCTGTTTTTTAAGTTGGCTTTTATGTTTGTTGAAAATTTTGTATTTTAGGGTTTTAATAGATTTTATATTGAAAGAATTGTTGTCAAAAAAGTGATTTCACTAGTATTTGGTAATGATATTCTAATGAGGAGCTTAAGGGCATGTTTGGATTTGTGGAATGTGATGGAATGGAGTGTTAAGTAGTCAGGGTTCCTTTGTTTGGATTTAGGAATAACGGATGGAGCGGAATGGAACATGATGGAGTCCATTCTATACTATTCCATCAAATCCTTTAATTTTCATTCCGCCCAATTTGGGGTGTATGCAACTGAACAAACTAAATTAGTTTTGTTCTATTCTGTCAAATTAACAAAAAACACCCAAACAATGGAATGAAATATTTGATCATTCCCCTCCGTTCCACTCCATTCCATTAGATTCCATTATGCTCTGCTCTGTTCTAGTCCATCAATCCTAACATGCTCTAAAGGGAATTATGTCGGTGGTCAGAGATGGTCTTATAATCCCTTTTGGTATGTATATCAAACACACCATTAGTAATTGTAACCTTTTCAGCATCGTATGCTCTGACTGTAGTTTTTTTATCAGACATGTAATATTATGTTATCTATTGAATGTGTAACCCACTAGTATTTGAGTTTGAGTGATTGAGCAAAACATTTAAATGTCATTGGTATTTTTTCTGGGTTTTTTTGGCCATATTGTAATGATGGATTCTCTTGAAAATGAGTATGTATATTTTCTCTTTTTTTTATCCCCGCTTCAATTGGCTTTGGGTTGAGGGTAATTGATTGCTGTTTTGCACTACATTATCTTCAACTTCTGGAATTAGTGCTTTAGACATGATTTATTTCTTTGACTTGAAGGAGCTTGCATGTATATCTAACATCTCATGTTATTACAGGTATCTCAAGTACTTGACCAAAAAGTACTTAAAAAAACACAATGTCCGGGACTGGCTCCGTGTCATTGCTTCTAACAAAGACAGAAATGTTTATGAGTTGCGATACTTCAACATCGCAGAGAATGAAGGAGAAGAAGAGGATTAGTTGTGTGTTCATCTTATTTATTTTAGAACCTATGTTAAACCATTTACTTGTCTTATCTTCTCTTTTGCCTGAGTATTGTTTGAGATATGTTGCTTTGGTTGCATCAGTTGCAATTTAACAATTTTGTTTAATTAAGAGTTGTGATGCCACTTTTGTTTGAAAGGGAATATAGTTCTCTATTATCCAATCAAGCACAACCTTCATTACAATTCTTATGTGGTAATCTTTTACATTAAATCTCATTTTATTTTCTCAGTAATTCACATTTCAGTTCCTCCCCCTGCCTAGCTCAGCGCCGCATTATTTGTTCCCATTGTTTGTAACTCGTAATAGGGTTATGAAGTGATCATTTCTTTGTCCCAAAGGTGTTGCATTTGTGCAGTGAGATTTCCTTTCTTAAACCTCGTACCAATCCGTCCACAGCTTACACTGCCTACTAATCTGTAGGGAATTATTCATGCAAATTTTTTAAAACCTTGTGGTTTCTATTATGTCAAGGGTACCATATATATAGCTCCGCTACCTGATCTATCACCCTCCTCCTTTTTACAACCAGTGTATGAGGCCTGTGGCAATCCAACATTCTTTTGTCTTCAAATTGAAGGGATGAAAATTCTGGAATCTCATTCCACCTTCCCCGTTTGGGCGCACCAACCTCTCTCAATATAGCCCCACTACCCGATATCATCTTTGATAATAGTCAGGATAACTTAGCCATGGATAGAGCTCGACATTTCCACAAATTTATCTTCCTAATTCAATCCTATATATGCACAAGTAACTTTGTTTTTTGCTTCTCTTGATCTTAAAAGTTGGTCCAAGTAAGATCACATGAGTCTGAATTTAATCTAATCTTGAATGCTTGTTTAATCTATTAACCTATATAGACATCTATTTTATTTGAATATTAATTCAACTAATATTTAAATAAAATAATAAATTAAAAAATTAACGAGACTAAATACTTATTTACATTAGCATATTCAAATTTTATTTATTAACATAAGTTTTGTGATGTTATTTGTTTGAAAGAACTTGTAAAAATAATCCAAGACATTATTCATTAAGTTTTAGTAACTTATTTTCATAAATTTTTTAAAATATCTAAGCTTTATTTTTATATTTTAATTAAAAATAAAATATAACATAATAACAATAATAAAGTTATACATATTTATTTAAATAAGTTGACCTAATATACTTTAAAGAGTTAATAATATAGTTATTGGTCTACGAAAGATTAAAATTTTAAAAGATCACTTATGCGAAGAGTCTTTTTTAAATCTAAAAATATTGTTTCAATTTCTAGACCTCTTGAGCTTCTCCATGTGGATCTTTTTGGTTCTTTAAAGTCTGAAATTTTAGATGGTAACTACTATGATTTTGTTATTGTAGATGACTATTTTAGATTTTGTTGGATCATCTTTTTGCATAGTAAATATTAGACTTTTTCTGCTTTCAGTCGTTTTGCAAAGTTGTTCCAAAATAAAATTACTTTAGACATAATTGCTATACGAAGCGATCATGAAGGTGAATTTGAGAATCACCTCTTTGAAGATTATTGTGATAAATACGGCCTTGAACATAATTTTTCCGCTTCAAGAACCCAAAAAAATGGTGTTATGGAACGCAAAAATAGAATTTTAGAGGAGTTAGCAAGAACTATGATCAATGAAAGTGGTCTTCCAAAATATTTTTTGGCCGATGCGATAAGCACGACATGTTAAGTTTTAAATATGATATTTATACGTCTTATTTTAAACAAAACTCCTTATGAACTTCTTAAAGGTGGAAAGCCAAATTTATCACATCTTCATGTCTTCGGATGTAAGTGTTTTGTATTGAACAATGTTAGGGACAACCTTGGAAAATTTGATGTGAAAGCTGACGAATGTATCTTCCTTGGATAATCTCAGTCAAACAAAGCCTAAATAGTTTATAATAAGAGATTACTTACTATTGAAGAGTTCGTGCATTCACTTTTGACGAGTCTTATCCGAGAAATATCGGGAAATGTATTTCTTTTCATGATGCATGTGTATCTTCAGAAGACATACCCAATGACATCGAAGAAGGAACCGATCAACCTGAAACGGTGAAACCCGAGGAGGAGGAAGATGAAGATCATGAAAAGAAGATGAATGAAAATCCAACTAAAGTGGATGATCATCCGTTGGCTTGGAGGACTTCCAAGGACCATCCCATTGACAACATTCTTGGAGACATCACCAAAGGCAAGACTACACGCTCTAAGATAAGTAATTTCTGTTATCACTTTGCATCAGTGTCACAAATGGAACCCAAAAATGCAAAAGAGGCCCTACTTGATGAGCATTGACTTATGGCCATGTAAGATAAGTGGAATCAATTTAAAAGAAATGATGTGTGAGACCTTGTCCCACCTCCGCGAGACCATCAAGTTATATGCATTAAGTGGGTTTTTAGAAATAAATTAGACGAAAACGGAGTGATAACGAGGAACAAAGCCCGACTAATGGCTCAAGGATATAACTAAGAGGAGATCATACACTATAAGGAAACTTTTGCTCTGGTTGCCTGCCTCGAGGCTATACGCCTTTTACTACCTTTTGCATGCTCTAAAGACTTCAAATTATTTCAAATGGATGTGAAAAGTTCTTTCCTTAATGGTTATATAAATGAGGAAGTTTATGTTTTACAACCTCCCGGTTTTAAAAATCACGAGTATCCTAATCATGTTTCTAAACTAAAACGATTTTTGTATGGTCTCAAACAAGCCCTTAGGGCTTGGTATGAGCGAATTAGTAAGTTCTTACTTGATCAAGGATACTCTAAAGAGAAGGTTAATGCGACACTGTTCATCAAACATCAAAGGAAACACATACTTCTAGTTCAAATTTATGTTGATGATATTATATTTGGTTCTACTAACATGCAAATTGGTCAAAGAATTTTCTAAGCTAATGTATGGTGAATTTGAAATGAGTCTAATTGGAGAGTTGAAATACTTTCTCGGACTTCAAATTAAGTAACTCAAAGAAGCAACGATTGTGTGTCAAACAAAATACTTCCACAAATTGCTAAAACGCTTGGAATGGTATATTCAAAATCAATTGACACTCCAATATCCACTAATGGGAACTTGACCAGATATTATGTTTAGTGTGTCCATGCGTGGTCGATATCAAATGACTCCTAAGGAATCCCATTTAAAAACCGTAAAGCGCATCCTTGATACCTTTACGATACTTATAAGTATGGGCTTTGGTTTCCCAAAAAACGCGATTGTAGTTTAGTTGGTTACTCCAATTTTGATTTTTCTGGTTGCAAATTAGATAGGAAAAGTACTAGTGGAACTTGCCATCCATTTGCGAATTCTTTAGTTAGTTGGCATAGTAAGAGGCAAGTCTCTGTTGCTTTGTTAGCTGCAGAGACATAATACGCCATAACTGATAGTTGTTGTGCTTAAATTTTATGGCTCAAACAATAACTACTTGAATATGATATCAAACTTCAACGTATTCCTATAATGTGCGACAATACTAGTGCAATTAACCTAACCGAAAATCCAGTGCTATACTCTCGTACTAAATAGGGGTGTTCATTGGTTTGGGTAAATCCGAACCAAACCATAATCCGAACCAAACCATAGTGTTTGAGTTGGATATTTTTTCAGTTCGGGCGAGAACCAAATCAAACCAATGAAATTCAATGACAATTTGTTTGGGCATCAAATTTTAAATTTTCTACTTGCAAACCCAACCTAAACCAATCATAATTAATGATCATAAAAATTACTACTAATCATTCAAGTTCAAGAAGAAAAAAGTGAATGTATGTATGTGGAAAAGTTATTCTATTTTAATTTGTTATTAGAAAATTGTTAGTGTATTGTGATAATTGTGATAATTGAGCGTAGAACTATGAAACACATTCATTATCATACTAATTTAAGTGACTAATTAAAGATTCAAAAGCCTTGGTGCTATATATTTTTGTTGTTAGATATTTTATAATCTATTAGGGAAAATTGTTAATCTAATATTTACGATTAAACACTATTAATATTATATATTTTTTATATTATGAAAAATTAATTTCCATAAAAAGTTATTTTTTTCATTTTTTTGTTTCATTTTTTATCTACTCGATCAATCAACCCCAAACCAACTCGTTATTTCTCAGTTCGGTTCGGTTTGGGCTTTATCGCAAAATTTTGAAAATTCAATCCAAACCAATTCATATAATTTTAACCAGTTTTGATATCGAATTCTCTCAAAACTGAACCAAACCGACCCGGGAACATCCCTAGTACTAAACATATTGAGACACGTCACTATTTCCTATGCGATCATGTTGAAAACTACGATATCGTTTTTGAGCATGTTGATAGCAAAAATCAACTTGCCGAAATTTTCATAAAATCTCTCGCGACTGAGCCATTTTAAATATTCACCGGGAATCGGGCATTCTCGATATCTCAAATTTTGCCTAAATATTATGTTGCATGCACTCTATATTTGTTTTAACCTTCTTTCAAAAGTTTTATTTCATGTGTGTGCATCCTCCATCTCTCATCCTGTGAGGTAATATCATTTCACTTATATCTCTAATCACAAGTTTTTAGTCTTGTGTTACTTAACTATGCCTCTTGTAATATAATTGTGTGTTTATGTTCCAAAAATGTGTGATAAATTTGACGTATGATGCAATCCAGTGATTGTTCATTTCCAAAAAAATTGTTGTTAACCTATGGGTGTTTTCGATCTATATGTTTATAGTGAAGTCATGTATTAATCATTTGTATTTCATCATTATATGTATTTCATGATATAAATTTTCCACATTTGAATTAGTTCTGATGCTGTTATGCTTTGGCGTGTTATTTATCTTTCTTGCATGAAAAACAACATTTTTGCATGCATTCCATTCTCATGTTTTTATGTTACTTTATCATGTTGTTCTATTCTGACATTATTTAATCAGGCTCAAATCAACTTTTGATTCTTCATCAAGTGCTG